AATCGGTTGTCTGTAAAGTCGGTTTACTGACGATAGTTGAACGTGACAACGTCATAAGAAAATACTGATGGAATGGTTTCATTTTTCAAAAGAAAATTTTAATTTTATTTGTTTGATAGATATTTTGTATGGATATAGAGAAGGAGGTAAATGGAAATGTATTATTGTATAGCAGCTGTCCACGCGGACGCATCGCTCACTCAAGTAGGAGAGAGACAGATGTCGAACGCTGCCGAACGCGGAGGCCGATTGTGCCTCTTTGTCACTTGTTCTGCGCTCTCGCTTGCACTTCAAGCCTTAAATGGAACGCCTCAGAGCGAGGTAACGCCGCATGAGTCATGTTTTTTCCTACGTGCAGCCGGTTCCATCGAATTATAAGAGGTTGTCACGTCAAAAAATGGTACTAATAATTTCAGAAATTCCTCTTGCAATCGTTACAATGTTATGTTTTGTAGATTTTGCCAAGATAAACCTGTAGGATTTAAGCACAACGCAAACAAAATGCGCAAAACAGTTTCTTACTGAACCATAACACCAGTTTAAAATTGGTATCCTAAGTTTGTAGTAGGTTAATATCGGTTAAATGCCTGTTAGATGATACGGTCTTCATTGTGAAACGTAATTGTTGGTCTCATTTTGGCAGTTGCTTTTAGTCGCATAGATCGCATTTAAAAGGACTTAGCCTCGAATTTGTTCGATAATTCGAATAGGGTTCGAGCTGAATCGCGACTAGGACCTTTTAAAAGTCCTTATAAAGCATCCGGCTCGTATATAAAGGACGAAGTAGGTGCACACTAGGTGCAGTCAGTATTAGCAACGGGGCGTTCGATGACGACCCCGGCGACGCTCGACTCAGGCGCGTCGTCGTCGCCGGCGACGGAACTGAAGCAGATCTCTCAACTTTAATTGAAAATGACAAATCCCTCTATTGAAATGGTAATCAAGTACTAGGGAATCCTATTAGTACGACCTTACGTACACACGTAAGGGCTTATAAGTATACGCGCCCTTTCCGCACTCACCTACTTTGATCGATATACATTATTACGTACACCGATACTCATTTGACAGACAGTGACGTCGTCGTGGTATTTAAAGTTTTTCGGAAGGCGTAAAAACTGAAAGTGTACCGGATACTGTTTGATTTCATTTCACACATCACATACTTATTGATATGTACAAAAAATACTTGGACTGTATATGTATAACTGAGATAACATAATCACCAATAATATAAAATGAAAATAGGAAAAAAAGATCATCTTTTCAGCTAAAACGACTGGAGAAGTATGAAATATGTCGCAAATTTACAACAGCAACGACAAAATGTCCATTTTCAATAGACATTCACTTGTATAAGCTAAGTGTTTAAATTTTATTTTCAATTTAGTAACTACATTATCTCTGCAAAATTAATTTTTTGCTTTTTTGTTTCAGATTTTATTGTATTTTGAAGCAGTCGATGTCTTGATCTTCCTGTAAACCGGTAAGTAAATTGTTGTCTCCTATTTCATCAATTTCTTTATTTTTATCTCTTGGTAGGTAACTGATTATTATTTCGTATAGATATTCTGTTATTGGTGGTATCTATTTCGTATTGAAATAAGCGGAAAAATTAGAAATTAATTAAGCAGTTGAAACCTTTTCATAAATTATAATCAACTGTAGTATTTAACGTTTAATTAAATGACACTGAATGCGTTAATACACATAAATACAAGCTGGCTCGTTTATTTATTTAATTTTCTGGCGTTTGCATTTGTTTGCGCGTTTGTAGTAAAATTAATGAAGGTGTGTAAAATAATTAACTTTATTTCTTCTAAAATTATAAT